GTTACACAGGGGAACAGCAGGAGGCCATTCAGCCCCTTCCCCAGCCTGTTACACAGGGGGACAGCTGGAGGCCATTCAGCCCCTTCCCCAGCCTGTTACACAGGGGGACAGCAGGAGGCCATTCAGCCCCTTCCCCAGCCTGTTACACAGGGGGACAGCAGGAGGCCATTCAGCCCCTTCCCCAGCCTGGTATTTACCTCTCTCTTCATCACTATCCATCTTATATTTCTCCCTCAAACACTTCCCCTGTCCATCTCTCGCCCTCTGCCTCTTTGCAAGTCAATCACTCTCTGTCTCTCCCCACCCCGCGTCTTTTTCTCTCCCTGTCACTGTTTGTCACTCTCTCTCTCTCTTTGTTTCTTTCACTCTCTCTCTCTCTGTCACTCTCTCTCCAAGTCAATCTTTTTCTTTATCTGTCCCTGCCACTGTCTCTCTTTCTGTCAATGTCGCTCCCTCTCTGTCATCATCAATACCACTCTCTCACCCTCCCTCTTAATACTTCTCTTGCTATCTGTCACTCTCTCCCTTCCCATCAATATCTCTCTCTCCCTCTCTCTCCCTGTTACAATATCTCTCTCTCTGTCAATATCTCTCTCTCCCTCTCTCTCCCTGTTACAATATCTCTCTCTCTGTCAATATCTCTCTCTCTCTCCCTGTCAATACATCTCTCCCTCCTTGTCTATATCTCTCTCTGTCTGTCACTCTCCCTCTCTCTACCATCAATATATCTCTCCCTCCCTGTCAATATCTCAGTTTCTCACTCTCAATCTCTTTCTCTCTCTGTCACCGTAACCCTCTCCCATGTCCATCTCTCTCTCTCCTTTTGTGTTTCTGTCACTATCTCTCTCTCTCTCTATCACCCATTACTCTCTCTCCATCTCCTGTCCATCCCTCTCTCTCCCATGTCCATCTCTCTGTCTTACACCCCCATCTGTCCATCTTCATGTCCATCTCTCTCCCATATCCATCCATCTCTCCCTCATATCCATCTCTCTCTCCCCCGTCCATCCATCTTTCCCTCATGTCCATCTCTCTCTCTCCCATGTCCATCTCTCTCTTCTGCCCATCCATTTCTCTCTCTCTCTCTTCCCTTCCATCCATCTCTCCTTAATGACCATTTCTCTCTCTTTCTCCTTCCTCCCTCCCTCCCCGTCTGTCTCTCTCTGCCACTCGACCAGATCGCGGCTGGTCTGATTGTGTTCAGAATCCCAGCTTGCCTGTGTCTCTAAGAACTTTTCATCCCTCCATTGTCTACTCCAGCTCTGTCTGCAAAATATTTACTCGTCCATCTGCACTGCCTGCTGGGAAAAGGTCCCAAAGTCACGCGAGCTCTGAGAGGATAAATAATTTCTCCTGAGCTCTGTCCTGGAAGGCTGACCCCTGATTTTAAAACTAGCACTGTGGTTCTAGGCTGGTCCCAGGGTCCTCAAATCTCCTACTGCAGCCCACTTCCTTCCATCGATATCTGAGATTACAGGAAAGGTGTGGAAGCGTTGGAAAAGGTGCAGAGGAGATTTACCAGGATGTTGCCTGGAATGGAGGGAAGGTCTTACGAGGAAAGGTTGAAAGAGCTAGGGCTTTTCTCTTTAGAACGACGAAGGATGAGAGGTGACTTGATAGAGGTGTACAAAATGATCAGAGGTATAGATAGAGTAGACAGCCAGAGACTTTTTCCTACGGTGGAGATAGCTATTATGAGGGGGGCATAGTTTTAAAGTGAGTGAAGGTAGATATACAGGAGACGTCAGAGGTAGGTTCTTTACTCAGAGAGTGGTAGGGGAGTGGAATGCATTGCCGGAGAGGGTAGTGGAGTCGGCCTCATTAGGGGCATTTAAGCAGCTATTAGATAGGCATATGGATGATAGTATAAGGTAGGGGTGGAGGTTAGATAGACCTTAGGATTAGGGTAAAAGTTCGGCATGACATCGTGGGCCGAAGGGCCTGTACTGTGCTGTACAGTTCTATGTTCTATACGGTCTCACCGATACCCCGGTCTCTCTCTCCCTCCAGCCCGTACCTGATATCTGAGAGATGACTCTCTCTCGCTCTGCTCTGCGGGGTCACTCTGCACCAGAGTGCTCGTCCTCTCGAACGACAGGCTGCCGAAGCGGGATGCGCTCTCTTTGTCCTCAGGACCCAGCTCGAAAGCATCGTC